AGCAAGTCCACCACCGTCTCGCGCAAGGCTTCGACGTTCACGCTGGCAGGTGTGAAATACCCCACCAGGTGGGTCTTGTCTTTCACGATGACAGCTGCAGACACGACGCCGACATGTTGCATCATCGCATTCGCCACTTCGTCCAGCTCGATGCGGTACCCCTTGAGCTTGACTTGGGTATCTTCTCGACCAAGGACTTCAAAGTGACCATTTGGCATCAGTCGACCCAAATCACCCGTTCGAAACACGAGCTTGCTATCACCATCGAGAACGATAGGAACGAACCGGTAGGTTGATTCGTCTGGTCGATTGATGTATCCAGGCGATACGCCCATGCCGCCCAAGAAGATCTCCCCCACGACTCCAATTGGAACTGGACGGAGCGACGCGTCCAGTACGTAGCATGTCACATTGTTGATCGGTCGGCCGATGGTCGTGGGTTGATATTTGGTCAGCTGTTGGACATGCGTTTCAATAGCACACTCCGACGGGCCGTAGCAGTTCATCAACGACACATGGTCAGCCCACAAGTCCTTGAGCGAAGATGGCATTTGTTCCCCTCCGTGAGCAATCAGCTTCAAGCGCGGGTACTGCTTGGGGTCCCCCAAGTGGGCAATTCCAGTAGGGGTGGTGCTGATGATATCGATCGTCGGCATTGCGTCGAACATATCGTTACCACGAAGGACTAATGTAGCCCCGTGACTCAACGCTTTCCAAGTGTCCCGCTGACACCCGTCGAATCCGATGGCCATGATCTGAAGCAGGCGGTTGCCCTCGCGATAATGGTGGAATCCATGCGGTTGGTTGAAAATGGTGTTGACGGCGCCTTGATGCAGCACGGGCACGCCTTTTGGTTTCCCCGTGGATCCAGACGTATACACAATGAACGCTTCGTTCGTACGCGACGCAATGTGACAAGGCTGCGGCTTGAAAGCTCTTGGATTCAAGGCTAATCGTTCGGAATGAATAGTGACCACTTGACATGACAAATTTCTCAATCGACCAACATGGACATCAGTGGTGATAATCACGTCAACCCCCGCGTCGGCAAACATAAATGACACACGGTCCAGAGGAAACGCAACGTCCAGTGGCATCATAGCGCCCCCAACTTTGAGCGTCGCAAGCAATCCGATAGGTAACTCCAGACATCGATCCATGATCACTGCCACGCGGCTGCCGACACATACACCCAACTCGGCCAACTCACACGCCACCGCATTCGCCTGGGCGTTCAATTCACCATACGACAGCCACTGACCCTCAAACTCCACCGCTAGGAGTTCTGGATGTTTCAACGCCCGGCTTTCAAACGCATGATGCAGCAACTCGAATGGCAGTGGCACCTCCGGACCAAAGGTCGAATTCTGGATGAATTCCCCCTGGGCTGGACTCACATCCCACAAGTTGATTGTCTTGTCCGGTGATTCAGTGCACAGTTGCCACACCAGCTCGTCAAATTCGCGCATGATCCACTGGGCCTGATCCCGTGACATGCAGCCAGGCTTGTACAATGCGTTGATTTCCAATGACCCTGCCTTGGGCGCCACAATGAGCTCGAACGTATACTCCATGGAGAACTGGGACTTCATTGAGCCTTCTACAGCGGACCAATACCCCTGGTCGGCACCCCTGGCTGCAGAAGTCTGGAAGGCAAACAGCGTGTCAAACAGCTCGCCTTCAACGCCACTCCATTTCTTGATGTCCACCAGGCTGGCATGAGTAAAAGGCGTCATCACTCCGCGTTCCACTCGAATGCTCTCCAGCATCGCCGACAACGGCAATGCATCGTCGAATTGGACTCGGCAAGGCACGGTACTCACCAGCAGACCCAGAATCCTAGTCGTCGTTTAGTGTCTAGGCCAGCATAACACATACGATTGTAGCGTACCTCTCGACACCGTCGACGGGAATATCTCGATTCGCCTTCACTTGACCAAACACGACATCGTTGTGACGAGTATACTTGCGAAGGGTCGCAGCCCAAGCAAACTTGGCCAACTCTGCGACCGTCACATCAAATCGTTGGGCGGTGAGGGTTATCTCCGCCAGGCTAGCCTTGGACGAAATACACAGGGGACTAGAGGGCACCACTTCCTCGTGCAGTTGCGCGCCACTGGTCCCAATGGTGGACGAGACAACCCCATCCAGATAGGACCGCCAGAACTCCTCCGTTTCTGACTTGTCTTGGGCTTCGATGAAGTCCACAACGTGGCGAAAGCTCGGCCGATCTACCAACGCCTTGCCTTTGACTATGCTCAACAGGTCTTCCCACAGCAGCGGAAACGTCCACCCATCATTGAGCGCATGATGGATCGTCATGACCCCAAATGTGTTAGATTCGGTCTTGACCACAGTCCAACGAACAAAGTGATCGACCCCCAGCTCAAACCCACGGACGCTGTCAAGGTGCAAGAACTCTTCAATCGTTGTTGCGGAGACTATAGCCATTTCAATGTCATTGGCATCGGACCGAATGACTTGGCACAAGCCAGCGGACGTTGAGGCAAAGGCTGTCCGCAAGATTTCGTGTCGCGCAACTAGTGCTTGAAACGCAGACTGAAGCTTGGCCATATCCACCGAGGCGTCCAAATGGACGGCACTTTGCAGGACATAGGAAGAAGGGTTCTTCATCGTGGCTACCAGCATGCCTGCTTGCAGACCAGTCACAGGATAGACGACACAGTCAGGCCACTTGGCCATGGCAGGCCATTCCTGTTGAATGGAAGCCTTAGCATCCTCGTTGAGTTTGGCACTTGGACAGATCGTAGCTTGAGGTATGGTAGCCACTGCAGCCACTCGCCACAACACCATAGCTTTCAACAGGTCCGACGCTGTCAGGTGCACTCCAGCCAGCTTGCTCGCAGCCACCACTTTCACTACAGACAGCGAGTCCCCTCCCAGCGCATAAAACGACGATTGGCGACCAATGTCAGCCACACTCACGTCCAGCACTTGGGCCCATACTGCCGCCACCTTGGCCTCCATCTCACTCTCCACTGGTTCGAACACATCGGCCACCTCCATGGCCGCCAAAACCAACTTGTCGATCTTGCCGTTGGCATTTTGGGGCATCACATCCAGCCCCACCCACACCACAGGAACCATGTACACAGGCAGCAAGTCCACCACCGTCTCGCGCAAGGCTTCGACGTTCACGCTGGCAGGTGTGAAATACCCCACCAGGTGGGTCTTGTCTTTCACGATGACAGCTGCAGACACGACGCCGACATGTTGCATCATCGCATTCGCCACTTCGTCCAGCTCGATGCGGTACCCCTTCACCTTGACCTGGCTGTCCATGCGACCTAGTATATCAAACCGTCCGTTCGACAGCAATCGGCCCAAGTCTCCGGTTCGGTACATCTTTCTTGCTTTTGCTGGATCGAATGGATCGGCCACGAAGCGCTCGATGGTCTGAAGGGGTACATTGATGTACCCGGGAGATACGCCGATGCCACCGAGGTAGATTTCACCCACAACACCTTGGGGCACTTGGCGTTGGTTCTGGTCCAGAATGTAGCAGCGGACATTGGCAATAGGCCGACCAATGGTCACTGAGTCGTGTGGGCCAAGGTGGGCCAAGTGCGTGACATAGCATTCCGACGGTCCGTACACGTTGATGAACTTGACGTGCCCAGACCAGTCCTTCTTGAGCTTGTTCGGGCAGACTTCCCCACACACCATGACGATTTGCAGGTTGGGGTATTGGGTCGGACAACCCAAGTGCCCCAAGCCAGTGGGGGTACACATGAGGACATTGACCGACGACATGGCTTCAAAATCGTTGTCACTGCGCAGCACAAGGCACGACCCGCAGCTCAGAGTAGCCCACACTTCCATTTGGCAAACGTCGAATCCAATGGCCATGAACTGCAGCACACGCATACCTTCGGTCATCTCTGCTTGGACGTTCCAATCAAACACTGTGTTGAGAGCACTGCAATGCAAGACGGGCACCCCCTTGGGTTTCCCAGTCGAGCCCGACGTGTACACGATGAACGCTTCGTCGTTTCGTGTCGCCACATGTTGCGGACTTGGCGTAAATGACGTGGTTGGCTGCTTGCTACCGACTGCTACATCTACCACATGTGTGCCAAGGTGCATGTCCCTCACTCGTTTCAACAGGCGAGAGGCAGTGACCACAGTCAACACATTTGCATCCGACACGATGAACGACAACCGAGCCACCGGAAAAGAAACGTCCAAAGCCATGATAGCAGCCCCCACTTTGAGCGTCGCCAGCAATCCAATGGGAAACTCCAGGCTTCTGTCCATGATCACCGCCACGCGGCTGCCGACGCACACGCCCAACTCGGCCAACTCACACGCCACCGCATTCGCCTGGTCATTCAATTCACCATACGATAACCACTGCCCCTCAAACTCCACCGCTCGCGCGTCAGGAAATTCCTTCGCTCTGACTTCAAACGCATGATGCAGCAGTTCAAACGGCAGCTCCATTTCCGGTCCGAACGAAGATGCGTGGATCAACTCGGTCTGAGCTGGGCTCAAGGTCCACAGTGCCAGAGCTGTGGTCGGCTGTGACGCATCCGCTGCCAACCCAGCACACAATTGGGTCAACGTGTGGTCGTACTCGTGGAGTATTTCACGCGCTTGGGCGTGCGACAGTTTTTCTGGTGCAAACGTTGCAGTGGTCGACAGAGCGCCGTGACTTGTGGGCTCAACGAGTAGCTCGAACGCATAGTTTTGCGTAAATTGGCCTTGCGAGTCCTTCCACGACTCAATCACTTCCACGCCAGCACGTGATCGACGTGGAGGCCACTGTTGAAACGCAAACATAGTGTCAAACAGCTGATCTGGGCGGATTCCGTCGCTCCACTTGGCCACATCCACCAGACTCGCATGGGAAAACGACGCTGACATGGCGTGGTTGACGGCTTGCATGTGCTGCAATAGTTTCACTAGTGGCAACTCGTCCACAAACGTCACTCGACACGGCACTGTACTCAGCAATGGCCCCAGAATCCTAGACTTGATTAGTAAAATAACGTCCATATCATTCGCCAAAGTGTTATGTAAGTAGTACCTGTCCGCCTCTTGAACTGGGATCCCTCGATTCGCCATGACTTGACCAATCACGACGTCGTTCTGTCGGGAGAACTTGCGAACGGTCGCTGCCCACGCAAATTTGGCCAACTCGGATACACTGACACCCGTTTGAGAGGCAAGTCGAGTCAACTGGGCCAAAGATACTGAGTGCAGCATGCTCAACGGCGCACTGTGGACATCGTTCAAGCCCGGGGACACATGCGAGCTGATTGGGGTAGGCACGACATTGGCCAGATACGCCTGCCAAAACGCTCGAGTCGCCACGGCGTCTTGGTTTTCCATGTAATCCACCACCGATCGAAAGGGCGGCCGAGGTGCTAGAGGCAGCTGATCCATGAGATCCATGAGATCAGACAACAGCGAGTTGATGGACCACCCATCAATAAGGGCATGATGAATGGTCAGAACACCGTACACCTCCAAGGACTGGGGTGACGACAGCATAGCTAACCGAACGAACGAAGGGTCGTCCAACATGAATCCACGGGCCAGGTCTGTCTTGAGCAAGTCGTGAATGGACACGTTAGATACATGGGAAATGGCGACGTCCGCTGGCGGGGACCAAGGCACGATCTGATACAGGCCGTGGGGACAACTGGCAAACGTCGTTTGGAGGATAGTGTGCTCCGTCACAAGTCTTTGGAAGGCTCTTTCGAGGGCTGATTGGCTGGCACGGTCTGTCAACTTCAGTGTGATTTGCAATGTATACGCGCTTGGATTGGCCGAAGTGGCCGCGAGCATCCCAGCTTGCATGGGGGTTGCAGGCAAGACCGTGGCATGTTGAGTTCGATTGACGTCGATGGAGCCCAACACTTCGGTGCTCACAGTTACGTGCGGCCACGCTACGGGCTCGGGTGAGGTGTTGGCCTTCCTTGCAACGTTTCGAAGCATTGGGTCCCGCAAAAGCTGGGCCACGGTGAGGTTCAAGCCCAGTACCTTGCAAGCGGCAACCACCTGGACAGCGGACATGGAGTCACCTCCCAGCTCCAAGAAGGAAGAGTTTGAACCAATCGCGCCCACGTCGACGTTCAGTACGGTTGCCCACACCTTGGCCATTTGGTAATCGTTATCCGACAGTTCCGCCCTGCCTTGAACAGGGGAAGTAGGGGGGTCCAAAATAGTGATGACTCGATGGCCTTCAACACCAGGTTGGAGCAATAGGGGTGTGCTTCGACCAGGCCCAAAATCCAAAACGCGATCGATGCCAGGGAAGGACTGCGCCTTGGATGTCGTATTGGGCCAGTGCACCACGTCACATAGCTGCATTTGAATCAGAGCTGGGAGAATGTCGTGACTGCCGAATTCTTGCAAATTGACGCTCTCGTCCGAGGTTGCAATTACGGGAAACTGCAACGCGCTTCCTTTGATCACTAGACCCAGTCGAGACGCCGCCGCTTCGATCCGACTTTGCGCCGGGCGTAGCAGGTCGTTGTGGAAAGCGCACGACACTGGAAGAAACTCCACCCGCAAGTATTCCACTGCCCATTGCTGCTGTTTCCCTTCCAGAGTCGCACTCAACACATTCAGCCATTTTGGGAGTCCAGTGACCACCAGAGTCGTGGTGGCATTCACTAGGGACACTTGAAGCGGGGGGTTCAGTTCATGCTCGTGGTTGAGTTGGCGAATACTTTCGTTCACGGCTGATTCGGTTAAACCTCGCACCAAAAGCATCGGTGTCCCAGCAAGGTGACTGGGTCTTGGCTCAGTGTCGATGGCGTCGTACATGCTTTGGGCGTGGTGGCCATGCTGAAACATTAGGCGCACAAAGCCTAGCCCGAGGTCCACAAGTTGGTCCTGGGTCGTCGCCGTCGCCAGAATTACGGCAGACACGACACCTTGGCTATGCCCCGTGCCGCTTCGAATCATCGAAAGCAGAGATTCGTGAGTCAAGTTGGCGGCCTCCAAAAATGCCAAGTACGTGGCCAACTGAGTGACAAGCACCAGTGGATAGCTCAACGGAGCAGCTATCAACGCTGCCGACGTTGGGCGCGTCGATGGGGCCGTGGCCCATAGGAGTGGCTGGAAGGAATTGCTTCTGGACTCGTCGGCAAGCACCGCTTGGGCCAGCAGCACAAATCGACGGGCGGAGACGGACTGATCCACAAGCCGTGTCAATTCGTCTAAGTACTGATTGGCTTGCCCTCCAAATTGCACCGACAGTCTCGTTGATAGGCCAGCAATGATCGCATCCATCGGGGATAGGCCAGAAACGATCGCATCCATCGACGTCAGTGGGGGGAAGCGTGTCATGCGATGGCTGTCAAAATTGAAATGGAGATAGGGATTTCCACAGACACGAAATGTTGGAAGAGAGATACTAGTAGTACCGACGACGGGGTACCTTTTGCCTTCTGGACAGAAAGTACATCACTGTGGTCAGTGAAGTGATACACTTCCATATACCGTACAGGTAAATCTCAATCTTTGCCAGTGTACGTGTAAGGACTTACAGTAATATCAAATCCCCTTTCGTTTTGTACGTTTGTCATAGTGTAATCCCAATGAAATTTCAATTTTGACGTTGAACCAATGCGACGGGCGCACTGCGATCACCTTTTATTGCAATTGCACCGTGAGCATTCTCAGTAAGTACTTAGGTGCTAGTACTAGTGTACTACTTCGAAGTACTTTGTATTCCTGAGTACTTGGCAAAGGATCTGGTCTAACAATTTCACTACTGTATTATTAATAGTACTCGTAGACTGCACGGTAAGTTGGGCTGTAACAACATAGCCAATGGATTTGAGGTGATATGCAGAATTTCACGACATCACAAACAACATTGAGTCCCAAGCGATAAGATAGGCGGCCACGTTGCATCCCGTATGGAGAATTGCTAACTCATAGTACAGTACTGTACCAGTTGGTTATCAAAAATGCCAATTGCATCGTGAAAATTCACATACGGTCGTACTACACCTTTTTGCGGTTAATTTCAGCTTTTTACCAGTATCACTATATTTCGCTGAGTTTGCAGTATATTTCACCTGGCCACCAATTCATTTCAACCACGTCCACTTATTTCGCCTTTCACTCGTTTTGGCTATTCACATCATAAACCTGGGTGTTTGTTACATCGACTTTTAGATAATCCGTACCGTGATTTAGCATCACGTTTCGTTACAGAATGTAATTATAGGAAGGTCATCCGTGGCTTGTCAGGATGCTTGGTTATAACTTCCCCTAAGGGGAAGTTCCAAGTAATTTTCAGAAATAGCATGAGCTAATCAAAATCGATTTACCTATTTTTTCACGATTTCGAAAAAGACGTCAAGGACCTCTTTTTCTACTTTTGTTATAGTGATTTGCATAAAATAATTTCATTTTGCTAAAAATATCTACTTGGAACAGGCCCTTACTGTTAGAGCCTGTTCCGACGAACTCGATAAGAATTACTACGAATAGACCAAATAAATAATTCACATCATTCGCTATATCGTTCACGTCCACCACTAATAACAATATTCCGTCTTATTGGTCAAAATTGCACCCAATCATACCACAGATAATGAACCGTGAACCTGCTCCTTCATGATTCCCACCATGCTTCCAAAGCCAACGGTAAAGATCACCAAAGCGCATCTCGTCAAGCAAGTACAGCTCCTCTAACATCACCTACTGCGTACCCCATCTCAAGTGGATGGAGCCATCAATTCCCCTTCGCAGGGAATGCCCACGATTGGTTCGTCGATGGCGTCAACAATTACAGACCACCCAGTCACGTACACTCAGGCCATGGTAACGACACTTCTGGAACTGCGATTCACTTCTTTTCGAGCGGCATTCAATGCTGATCTGTCCAGCAAGCAACTTCATATGCACTGGGTGAAGTTGGCTCTACGATTCAACATTGTCACTGAACAACCACGCAGGGTACTACAAATACCATACAACGTATCATAATATTTATGTGCCACCATAGGTATCTCCAGACTCTCTGAAGAATAAGCTACGAAAGTTACGGACCGAGTTTGTGTCGATCCAGCGCAGCTTGACAGCAACCGATAACGGCGAGAAGACGACCCCTGCGATGCCAGGCTACTACGCGGGCATGTTGGTTGCGTTTGCGGACCTGCATGGGCTTGGAGACATTGAGTTTAGCATGGAGCGTGCTGCAAGTGCGAGCCTCAATGAAGATAATCAAGGTCTGGATACTCGTGCGATCGGTGAGTCCATTTCGACGAGCTCCATGTGACGTCAAACGGAAGGCTGAGATCGACATGGAGATTCAACGCCAAGGTCAAGTCCGGGGGAAGAAGCAACAATCTGATCTTGCGGTAGGTCTCAGCAACCTTGGAGAAGCACTTGCAATCGGGCTCATTGAGGCTACCAAGCTGAAGAGTTCACATACTGTAACTCTGGGGTAAACATGGCAAACCAAATCGTCAAGATGTTCGATCTTATGCAGGAAACCAAAGCTAGTATTGACAAAACCAATGAAGTCAACGACAAGATGCTCCAGTTCCTCCAGAGTACATTCTAAGTAATACATCAATTTATCATTTGAGTTAAAACTTGAAGAATTGAGTTAGTGTATAATAGACTTCAACCTTGATTAGTTGTTTGATGCGAACAATACGTAATACAGTAGTACCTGAATTAAGCATAAGTATATATTAAAATTACAGTCCGTAGATACCTGAATTAAGCATAAGTATATATTAAAATTACAGTCCGTAGATGTAAGGGGCACAATGATACGGGGATACGGAGGGATACGGCGACATGGAGGGATATGGGGAGGATACGGTGATACGGCGATACGGAGGAATACGGCGATACTGAGGGAACGGGGAGATAAGGGGATACGGAATGTTCATGAATAAAGTACACATATTTGTATACATATATTATTACAATTTATACATCAACATGCTGGCTTAAGTACAGCTTGATCAAATCCCGGGCGCGTTTAGCAGATACAGTCAACGAAGGAGTGGTTCGCCTATCGAACTATGTTGACATGCAACTGTTTTTTTAACCAATCAAATTTTTTTGTGATTTGAAGGCATGTGATTGGGTAGCTATAATATTTTCCCGCCGGCGCGATTCCTTTAAAAATTCTCGCCACAATCATTGACAAATTGATGACAGTGAACTCAACGCTTCGCGGCCCAAAGCGCCGTTACCAAGTGGCCATCAGGCGTGAGGCCATTGCACTGCTGGAGACTATGTCGGACTACAAGGTGTCGGCTCATCCAGCGAGACGATATCCTGGCGTACACCGGGAACAAAAAGCGAATGAAACTCAGCCCTGGTGGCCGCTCCGAGTCCTTTTCTGACCCAACAGGACTCGTCGAGTTCATAGCCGAGTGGCGTGCTCGTGAACGTGCATTGACCACAACTCATATTATCAACTGGATTAAACGCTTCCAACCTGACTGGCTGCGACTGTACCTTGCCGATAAGGAGCCCGGCATACCAAAGCCTCCTTCGTCTGCTCCAACTCTTCTGCAATCGTCATGGGTACTCTCGGCAACGCGCTGGCCACACCAAGAAGTCCCGTGCTGCACTGACCGAGGTCCGCGACGAGTTTGCGGAGGAGTTTCACCGCGCCTACAGCGCCTTCGATGCCGACGCTGTCTACAACGTGGATGAGACGGGTTTCACTATGACATGCCACCGAGGTACATTTGGTCAATCAGGGGTGGCGATGCCAAAGTGTGGTCGGGTGAGAAGCATTCACTTCGCATGACTGTGGCGCTTACCGTTCGTGCCGATGGGACGAAGATGCCTCTGCTGTTCGTCGTTCGGGGCCAACCCGGCGGTCAGATCGCAACCAACGAGCTGCCAACGTATCGCGCTGGCCATGTCTACGCAGTACAACCCAATGCATGGATGGACAATGACGTGTGGCGACAGTACCTTCGTGACTTGCTATTGCCCTGCATTGAAGCGACGTCGGTCATCTTGGTGGACAACTTTGAGTCGCATGTATCCGACGAGTCCTATGACAATGTTCAAGACGAGCTGAGCAGTCTCCTCGTACCGATGCCTCCGAATGTGACATCTGTGTGTCAGCCGCTGGATGTCGGTGTGATGGCGCCGTTCAAGAGGCTCCTACGGGACGAGTGGTTGGCTGAGGAGATCAACGACGGCGACGATGGGGATGAGTTTGACTCACCCTGTGCTGCGCAGAAACGCCACGCAATGATCAAACGGGCAATTTCGGCGTGGGAGAAGGTCAGCGACCGTAGCCAGAGACCAGTAGCCACTCCTTGCTTTATATTAATTGTGGAATTAATATATAA